ATTTGTACCAAAACAGGGAGATAGACAGTAGAGAACCCCTACTCCTCCATACACACTAGAAATACAAGTCTATCTCTCTGGATAACTGTTGTCTTAAGACATTTTGAAGGAATGCATTAATGTAGATAAATGTACTTGTCTCTACTCATATCCCTTATTTTGAACAACCTGGAATTCTCAAAAAAAAAAATCTGGCAAAAGTGTAGATTCCATCCATGGCCCTTTTCATGTAGTTGTTTTCAGCCTGAAGCCTTTCAGCCTTCAGCCTCCTTGAAAGCCCTTTTCCATCATATAAGAGCTTTCCTTGCAAAGTGGGTAAAAATAACTCAGTCTCGAATTTGGGGCTCAGCCTGGAACCAGCCACTGAGATTTTCCAGACCATCAAGCCAGAATCCAAGGATGTCATGTGCATGTGATTCCCAGGGTCTGGGCTGTTCCCCAGAGATGGTACAGACATTTCCACGTTTCGCCTCTTTAAATCTGTCTCCATCTCTTGTGAATATAATGACCATGACTGAGAATTATTCCCACTCCAATGATGAGGGTTCCCCCCACTCAAAGCATCTTAGAAAAGGCTTAAGTCCCATTAATTACATCCAAATACATATCTGAAATGACCAATGTCATCCCCAGAGTCATTATCATCTATTTAAATACTAGGACCACAGTCACTGCATTCTGAATATCAGTGGGAGGTAGTACAGCTCAATGGTTAAACACAAGGACTCTGAAGCCTGATGGTCTGGGTTAATATCCCAGCTGTGCCTCTTAAAAGCATATGAGCTCTGACACTCTATTTAACCTCTACGGGTTCATTTTTCTCATCTGCACAAAGAAGGTAATAACCAGTACCTACATCAGCAGGTATTGGTGAGAACTAGATGAGTTAACATTTGCAAGATGCTTCGGACAGCGCCTGACACACAGTAAGCACTGAAATATGAGCTGTTAAAGACCCCTAGAGGTGAAAGTCTGGGTCTGAGAATGGCCATGTGCAGGTCTATGAAACACCATGTGCAATTACAAATCCATTCACAGACAAATACCCAGATGTGCTTCTTCTAGGCATGATTTTTAGTTACCCTTGGCCTCGGTCAGTAAACTGACATCTCATATTAATTTGTTTTTCCATTGGAAAAGTTAACAAGATGATTTTGGGGGGCAGAAAAGAGAAAATATATACACATTTAATTTATAAGAAGGAAAGCTCGGAAAATGCAACACAGTAGAATATCTAGAAAACCTGGATGAAAGATTCAAAAGATAAAATGAGCACAACTTTCAAAAGTCATCCTAACAAAAAGGTAATTGAGCCTGTAGAAGCATGATTTGGAATGGCTTGACCACTCTGCAGAAGTCCAAATTTATGTTCTTATGACAAATTAAGCTGTATAGGGAACATTCAAGTAGCACATGTCTGTGAATTAAAGACAACTTTCTTCTTTGAGTATTGGGAATACAGCCACCCATGTAAGTGGAGAGGGGATTAATCAATCCCAGGGTGGAGAGGTTTACTCCTGGATAGTCTAGTAAGATAAATCCTCACAGGTCTGTCCACCCACTTCTGACCAGACACCATGTGGACTTATATCTTTATAGGCCGCTTGTCTTGAACCCTGCTTTCAACAAGATATGACATACTCGTATACACACCCATCGGAATCCTTAGAAAATATATGCTTTGCTTTCCTAAAGTCTTAAAATTAACAGCCAGAATATACTAAACATGATCCTACATTGTTCATGCTTTGTATCATCTGAAAATAGAGACACTGACATCATGTTAATAGGCGATTTTATGTTATCTGACAAAACATAAGAAAAAATATTCCTATAGTCTTGCCCTTAGCTGGCAGTGCAAGCTTCCCCCTCTAGAAGGCAAAGCCCCACTGGGAACTGGCTCCCCAGAAATGATTCTTTACACACCTAAGAAGTGAACCCTCAGATGCACCTTATCTACTTTGTAATACAGAATGGCCTTCAAGTGCAGTCCTATCGTTTAGTGAAACCTTGGCCTGAGACCTCACTTCAGAGCAATATGAAACTGTTCTGTCCCTGTAATGCCAAAGCAAGTGGACGAAGCATGAACGCACTGTCACACCAATGAATAAGGACCAGTAACAGCATCCTGTTGTCAGTAGATTGCAGGAGACAATTAGAGTGTACCACGACAAACCTGGCCACTACACAGCGGAGCAAGGAAGAGAAGAAGCAGGGCTTTGGCACCACTGGAGCCCTTCCTCTCCCTGGCGCAGGTCACCTGAGTATCCAACACTTTGCAGAAAGACAACCCTTAACGGGGTCCCACAGAGTCAGGGATACAGGACCATGGCTAGTTGTGGACCCAACGTGTAAAACCATCATCCAGACACTCTACAGGAGGCTAACATAAGTATCAGACAAGATGTATAAAATCAAAATGTTATCCCCAAAACTGAAGGCTTAGATACCCATAATCTTAAAAAATAATATGGGAGACCAATATATATGTATTCTTATTTTATCCTAAAAGTACATTTTCTTTATGTGCTCTTGCTTTAGGAGCAGAAATAGTTTTGGAATGATGATGATGATAATGGCAACAAAAACATTCTCTAAGAAGATGACACTTTATCAGCTTAGGGAGGGAAGATACCACCTCTCTGTATCTCTAGTATCTTGGAGATCTGCCACAGCTAGTCAAAGTAGACATAATATGAACATTCAAACACAGAATTGCAAATTAAAATGGAAAACTAAATGCTTTTAAGGGAGCACTCTTCATTCTAGTACCTGCAGAGAAAAGGTTTGTGCAGGTGTCATGTCATTCCTAACTGACTGCATTTTCTCAATGATGTTGGGTGGGAAATGTCTCCCAACACACACACACACACTGGCGACTCCCCTAGTCTCACAAACCCATGTCTCCTTGCAAAATCCCACCATGGAGGACCAGCAACAAGAGCCCCGTGTTTATCTTCCATTTTGTGGGCTACAGCGACTTGAAAGGATGAAGTGGCAGCCTGCGTCTGCCAGCCTGGTAGAGTGCTTCCCGGTATAGTGGACCGGATGGTGCACAAGTGGCCCCACTGCGAAAGCTCCCTTCCCTTTTAGAAGTCCCTTTAGTAGACAACTTATTTCTATTCATTTGTTCTAATCTTTCTTCAGATCAGGCCGGCAGCCCATTAATCATTTCTGTCAGTCCCCTACATAAGCCAGTGCAACGGAGCTCTGTTTTTCTAAAAATCACAGTGCCAGAAATTAAGCTCAAGAAAGAGGAAATCCTCTCCTCTTCACAGGGGCTGGCTGGGGTGCTGACTGGAAGAAGCCACCAATTGTGTTGACTTTCCTCTTTTGCCCAGAATCACAAGAGAACATTCCATGGAAAGTTTTTTAAAGAGAATTCAGGTGGGAAGTGGAGGTGGGGAGGCTGAAGAGGAAGCCAACACATGAAGCCCCCAGCTGAGGAGAATGTAAGAAAGGAAAGGAGATGAATACATGCCAAGACAAGACAGATATGGACAGATAACAATCTTATTAATGTTTTTACTAAGGCTAATTGTTTTTAGCAACTTCAGACCAGAGAATATTAAAGGCCCAGGTTATAGCCATCATAGACCCACTACATCTTGGAGTAAGGAAAATCCAAAATTAATTAAACCAAATAGAACATTCTCGATGGCAAAGAAAAAGACTCTTGCAGAGTTGATATACTTGTTTGTGTAATAAGAATGGGAGTGACCTTGAATCCACTGCCATCTTAGGCTGATTTTTTTTTAATTCTGTTTTTAATGAGGATATGCCTGTGAAGTAGGAGAGAGCACTGCCAATAAAAAAAAAAAAAAAACAGACAGAAGAATCATGATTTACCGAAGACCATGCATGACTCAGAACCACTCACACATCCTATTAGGCTTTATTGTGTTCTCTGCACAGTACAGATTAAGCGTGATAAAAAGGTACAAGATTTGCAATTGAGAGATTGGATTTCTCCTCCCATGTCTGACACTACCAATCCCATCAAGAACAAGTCCTTTTACAAATGGCGGAGAGTGCCCCAAGATGTCAGGTGAAGGCACTGCACCAACTCTCGAGTCCTTACAAGATTCTTAGACTCTCAGCGGTTAACTTCAGTGGGCCTGAGATCTCTTGTCTCTCTTCTAAGATTTTGTGATTTTTATTAAGCTCATAAGGATGGCCAGCATTATCAGGGAGAAGAAAGAGTGCATGCCATGTGCATTGGTCACTCTCTTAGGTGGTATTGGGTTACCTTGTCAAGTAACTCAAGTGGTTTGATATGAATAAATGTTTTTACATCAAAGTTTGGGAATATTTACTTAAAACATAAATTAGACAAGTTTAGTCAAGTGATTTTTCAATAGTCATTTTCCAAAAAGGAGCAGCATTCACTGGGACACAGGAAGAGAAACAGGCACAATGGAGGGACTAAAGGGACAAGGTTAATATAATAATAATCACCAGGGACGCCTGGATAGCTCAGTGGTTGAGCGTCTGCCTTCAGCTCACGACCTGATCCCGAAATCGAGTCCCACATCAGGCTCCTTGTGGGGAGCCTGCTTCTCCCTCTGTCTCTGCCTCTCTCTGTGTATCGCATGAATAAACAAATAAAATCTTAAAATAATAATAATAATCATCATCATCACCATACATAAAGACACATTTCTGAGTGGGAAAAAACTTTTAAACATATATAAAACATTAAGTCTCTTAAACTTACTGAGAGATAGTACTTGGGTAAGATTTGGGTAATTTAAGGGATTTCCAAGGGTAAATCTGATGTAAGTATAGTCTTAGACATCAATATATTCATCTATGCTGCAATGTATTTCAGAAAGATGAATGGATACCATTTATGTTTTAAAGTTTCTTTATAGATGTGAACTTCAGCTATGTTGAATGTGTATTATTCTGCTTCATGTCAGTAAAATAAAGCCCATCTGCATTTGGATTTGGGACTTACTCAGAAGCAAATAATTTGAACATAAAAAAAAGAAGCTTACCACGAATGCCACTGTACTTCTCAATGTGGATTCCCACTGGAAGCAGCTTTTAAGGAACTGTATTGTATTCCACATTGCCATGGTGATTCTTTTCACACGGTCTACATCTCTCGATAAGATCTAATAAAAAAATGGAAAACAAGGAACTAGATTTAAATACTCCAAATATTCTCTTTAGAACAGGCAGCTCATTTAAATTATATTGTATAGTTGCCAGTTAAAAAATAGAATATGACGGAAAAGTCCTAAAGCTTCCTCTAAAATTATTTTTAAGACACCATCGTCCATAGAGGGGAAAAATACAATGTACTTTATAACTCTTTGATGGAGAATAGCCTGTTTCAATAATATTCAGCACAAAACTGAGCTGGTAAAAGCTATAGCAGCAGGGCATTTGGTGTGTGTGTGTGTGTGTGAGAGAGAGAGAGAGAGAGAGAGAGAGAGAGAGAGAGAGAAAGAGAGAGAGAGAGAGAATCTATACTGTTTAGTTTAGAAGGAAATGGATGGATTTATTGTAGAAATTAGATGTGTAAGTATTCTAGCTCATGTAGTCCAGAAGAAAAAGTCTACAGGAAAGCATAATTCTGGGAGGAGAATCCAGCTCTCCTACCTCCTAGCTGTGCAACCTCAGACCAGTTTCCTAACCTCTCTTGTCTTCTAGGATGGGGTGGATCTTAGTATTCACCTTGTAGACAGTGAAGAAAGTTAAGGGCCTTTGAAAAGTGCTTGCCACATGTTAAGTGGTCTCAAGTACCTGCATCAGAAGCACAAGCTTCAACTGGGTAAAAATCTGGACACCCACAGTGGTGAGAGGCACACAGGGAGGATCCCTACAGGTCCCAGGATTACAGCCCCAAATCCCCTGGAGCTCTCAGAGCCCAAAGCCACCCCATGTGGAGGGAGGTCCTGTTTGGCAAAAGAAACGTCTTTTCTCCCCTTTGCAGGCAGATTCATTTCAACTTGTTTGCAAAGCTGCTCTACCCCCACCTACCCCTACTTAGGTTTTAACTTTCAAGTAAAGAGGGCACAAGGCAGTAATAATAATAATAGTAAAAGCCGTTTACTCAGATTACACCAAATAAATATCACACTCCATGTTATGGCAGACCAAAACAAAACATTGGGATGCTCCCTTCAGAAGACATTCCAGGCCTTTCCCAAGTGTGCCCAGAAGTTCACGGGAAACAAAGGGATGAGGAGATCCATTTATATTTAACTGCTTTATGTCATCCACAGCTGCTCACCCCACAGGAAGTGGTGGAAGTAATAAACACTTGAAAAAGGGGACACTTTGTTCTTTGTTACACAACTGAAGAGGGACAATAGGTACAGAGTGAAATCCTGAACTGCGTCTGAATAAGACAGGGAGGGACTCTGAAAAGAAACATAAAGGTCATGCTTAAAAAAAAATGCAAAACTTCCTCCTACTGGGTGCTGATCCTCCCTTTTTTCTTAAACTGTGTGTGTGTGTGTGTGTGTGTGTGTGTGTGTGTGTGTGGAGAAATGAAGGGAAACAGGCAGGAGACACTTAACTAAAAATGAGGTAAAGCACCAACATATTCCAACTATTTAGAAAATACAAACTTGGTAGGAGCAGCTGGGGGGAGCTTGAGGCTAGATGCCCCGAAGATCTTGAGTGGGGCCAAGGTGGTAAAGGCCTCCTGCGAGAAGGAGGCTGAAAGGGCCTGAAGTGATTGAGGCCAGCTGGGCAAGCCAAGTCCAGGAATCTTCCTTGATAGAATGACCTGGGAGACAAAATGGAGGGATGACACCTACTTCATCCAACATCTAGGCTTCCAGTCTTTTCCTTCTTAGCCTGCTGCCTGAGGTCCTCATTCTGGGACAGAGGGGATAAGGAGGAGGAAGGAGTGGAGGTGGAAGGAAGGAGGGAGGGAGGGAGGGAGGGAGGGAGGGAGGGAGGGAAGAAAGGGAGGAAGGGAGGGAGGGAGGGAGGGATGCTAAGTAGGGAGGAATAAGCACTTCCGGTGCTGAGTGTACCAGAAGCCAGTTGACTGTACCCACCTACCTTTTTGGACAGCTTGCGGCTATCTTCAACAAAGCGCTTTTCTCTGGGAGTAAAGGTCCTAATGCTTGCTTTGACCTAGAAAGACATCATTGTTTTTTTTTTGTGTTTTTTTTTTTTTTTTTTTTTTTTAAAGCAGCATTTAAATAGACTTCATTCTTCTCTCCTTCTTGTTAATGACTGGGAAAAATATGGAAACCACTATCTTCTGACCCTAAGGCCCTTGGCAGGGAGCAGAGGGATTGGGGAGGGGGGCATTCCGCTGTGTTCCTGGGAATCTCATTTCACCAGCACAATTGGGCAGGTCAGACCAGATCTGACTGGGGAACTCCAGAGTGTTGTATCCATTTTGCATACCAGTGGAGGTATTTTAAACCACTGTTGAGGGGCACCTGGGTGGCTCAGTGGTTGTGTCTGCCTTTGGCTCAGGTCATCAGGTCATGATCCAATCCTGGGGTCCTGGGATTGAGTCCTGCATCCGGCTCCCTGCGGGAAGCCTGCTTCTCCCTCTGCCTGTGTCTCTGCTTCTCTAGGTCTCTCATGAATAAATAAATAAGATCTTAAAAAAAAAAAAAAAAAAAGAGAGAGAGCCTGGGTTCATGAGGCTCTCCAACTAATCTTTTTAAAAGATTTCTTCCATGACAAAGATGATGGTCTCTCCCAGGCAGACCTAATATTTTGAATTGTCTATTAAAAATTAAAACACCTCTTTGTGGCAAAGTAAGAAAACACAAATGGGACAAGCTTGTGATATCTACAAGAGGGTACACATTCCCTCTGAATGTATCATCAGGTCTAAAAACTACACCTACCTTCCCATCAAGGTTTTGAAGGAAATTTTCACCAAGAATAGCTTTCCTGCGAAAGAAAATCAGTTCCTGGCTTGTAAAAACACCTTTCCACATAGCATCGCATTTTCTCTCAAGTATATGGAAAAGTACATAAGTGAGTCCTTTGAGACCCATTTTATGGGGAATATGCTGAGGCTTAGAAAGCATTAGTAGTTTGTCCCGCTCACCATACTTCAGAAAAGCCCAAAGAATAAAATTCAAGTCCTTCTGCATTCCATCAGATAGACAGATGGAAAATAACACAACTGACATCTTTTCCTTGTAAATGTTCTTCCTTCAATCTCAGGTTTGGATTGTGTAGAGTCTATATACAAGGGCTTGCCAGGAAGAAGCAGGAAATGAGGAGTTGCCTGTGGAATAAGAGGCACAGAGGATTTCCTTGGGGGAAAAAGGGAACTAAATGGGAAAAAAAGAGGATGATTTTATTTAAAAAAAAAAATTAAAGAGTTATTTATTTATTCATGAGAGACACAGAGAGAGAGAGAGGCAGAGATATAGGCAGAGGGAGAAGCAGGCTCCATGCAGGGACTCGATGTGGGACTCGATCCCAGAACCCTGGGATCACAACCTGAGCGAAGGTAGATGCTCAAACACTGAGCCACCCAGGTATCCCAGGATGATTTTATGAGTAATTCTTAAATACAATAAACAAGAAGCAGGGTGGCACAGGAATCACTGCAAAATCAGAAAGTTGCTGACTCATTTATTTATTTGTCAATCAGCTCCGTTATTTAATTCCATTTGCTCGTTGTCGAATGGCATTAATGATACCTATTTACCAGGTTTATTGTGAGGATTAAATGCAATAATGTCAAAGCCTGGCCCATTGCAGGTGGCCACTAAATGGCAGCCATTCTTATAATTACTGTAAAAGCTCCATTACCCTACATTCATTTCTACCGCTAACTGGATTAACCTGCTTTCTCCTTTTCCTTTCTGGAACCTACCGCAGATACATGGCATATGCATGGTCACAGTTAAGTAGGCTAGTTCTCTGCATGTCGAGGAATCTCTGCTCACAACAATCAAATCGACTGTGCAAACTCCCAAACTTGTTTATGCCAGTTTTGCCCATTATTATAATTCCATATTTTAATCAATTATCATATAAATTATTGAAACCCCAGCATAGGCCAGAAGACTTTAAATGTGGGTTGTTCTAGAAAGCCTTGATAAAGGCCCATCCCTAAAAAGATAGTTTTTGAGGTAATGATTTTATGGGGGGAAAAACAGTCTGGAAATTTCTATATTCAGATTGTTTTGTATCTTAGTAGATAAAGTAGATCTCCACTTTAAAAGAAACCTGAAACTAGATATGACTATATATATTATGAGCATATTTATGCAAGGAATATGTCATAGAACACAATAAATCCATGGTATAAAAAACAAATTTTATGCCCAGAGATAAGGATTGGCAAATGAGTATTCACATGTTTTATATTAAACTAAAGGTTTAAGATATGTTTGAAAAGTTCCTCCTAAATTGCAGTTTCTGAATGAGTAACTACTTGTTTTGGTAGTATTGGATAGCTGGACAGCTACTGTAACAATTAAATAACATGTCAGGGGCTTGCAAAGACCTCTGACCACCAGCTGTGGCCTTAGAGAAGATTACAGGCAATAAAGCTGCTAACAAACTAATTTCTCCTTTTTTAAAAATTTTTTTCCTTGACATTGAGATGTACTGGAAATTAAACACCATCATTTCTACTGGCTCAAGGGGTTAATACCAGTTGAAAACTGGATTGTCTGGCATTGATTTTACAGCTGAGGTTTAAAACCCTGTTCTCTCTCTCTCACTGCAACATTTCTGAAACACTTTTACATGGATTTGAGTCTTGCCAAGCTCGTCATCTTTTACTTTAGGTACAGAGAAGCTGGAGGGTATGGATGGCCCAGCTAGACTTACCGGATTATATATGAGGTCCATCTCCAAGTAAATAGCTCCTTTAAAAGCTTGTTCTAAATCTTTATTCTTCAATACATAGCAATTCGGTTGTCCATCTCGAATCTGTCATAAACAATAGGTAAAATACCAACTTTCTGTGGAGTTTTAACTGGCAAAATTGAAACCGCACAATGCACACACAGATGAAGCAGATATTCAGCAAATAGTAAATCCATCATACATCGACCTTAAAATCTAGAGTGCTGTTATAACTGAGAAGATAAAGTAACAATCAGCAGGCTGAAACTCGGTTAATAATGAAAATTTATTCATACAAGTTATTAGTAGGTCTACATGGGCTTTCCTTCAAGAATCTTAGATGTTACCCATTTTCATTGATTAGAAATGATTAATTTCTTACAAAATTCCTGGCCAGTATGTCTCAAGATTGCCAAGGTCATGGGAAAAAGGAAAGCCTCAGAAGTTGTCACAATTCAGAAGACCGAAGGAGATAAGATGATTAAATGCAATGTGTTACTCTGGGTTGGATCCCAGAACAGAAAAAGGACATTAGTGGAAGAACTGGTAATATCCATATAAAGACCAGAGTTTAGTTAACAGTAATGCACAACGTCTGTTTTCTTCTTTTAGTTTTGATAAATGTACCATGGCAATGTGAAGAGTTAACATTATTAGGGGAAACAAGCCAAGGGGTACATAGGAACTCCAATTATCCTTGCAACTTTCCTGTAAATCTAAAATTATCCCCAAATACAGTGGTTCTTAAAATATTTTTAAGAAATAAAGGAACTGATTTTAATAAGATGATCAGTGTTTCACAGCCATGAAGCAATGCAAATTCAATTCACGAGGAGCTGAAGCTGAAGTCAAAATCAAAAATATTTACAATGCACAAAATGCTGAGTAGTTTTCAAAATAAACAAGTGCCTCTGATATCATCTCTCAGCCAACAAGGTCACATCATTTCCAGACCCTAATCTGCTAGTGGACCCCAACATGTAAGGCATCCAAGAAAAATATTTCTTGTACCATTTTAGAAATGATGTGGGTCCCATCAAGGCATTCACTTTCCAGATTCAAAACCAGCCTTGCTTTTTATGATTACACAGCAGTATACTGCATTGATTAAACTTCTGGCTTGTAAGAAGAATACCTGGTAACTCCAAAAGGACATCAGCAAAACTTGAACTAACAAAAGCTCCATTTAGGATTATAATAATCAAAGATTTGAAATAATGTAGGAAATTTGATGGCATGAAATTTGAGCCATATTTTAACTGACTATTGCTGTCACTACAAGTATTCAGCACAAGTGTTCTTATAAACAGTGGTGGAAATGAGTTGAATAAGTCATAGGGGAAACAGAGCCATTACACTTTACAAGGGAGAGGTCACCTTCCTTCCCAAAGTCACCCCACCTCTCAGATTGAATAGGTTTTAAACAGAAAGATGGTTTTCCTGGCCAGTGGCTAAGAGGAAGGGGGTGCCCCATAAAGACCTGGTTTCCTTCCTAAACGGTGTCCAAACAGGATTCTGAGCTTCCTCTTTTATCCACAGTCTCACTTAATAAATTGTGGGTGTTAAAGTTGAAAGAAATAAATACAAAAACAGCATGACAATTTGCCAACCTGAATTCAGTCCAATTTAGCTGTGCCTCAACCCACAGTCATTGTACTGTTATCTTAAAATTTCCATGATTTCTTCAGGGTTAGGAAAGGGCAACAGAAGAACATGAGGTATCGGTAGAAAAAAATATATATTTTATAGTAATTTGGGGGGGTTGATTTTTTTGTAAATGATCCTTTTCCTCTTTTTCAAATGTGCTACTATTGTATCAGCAAAACACAGAATCCACCCAGGGATGTTAAATCAGTTATTAAAGCTAGAGATATCATATAGGCTATTCATGTTGGGTACTTTCATATAATATTATCTTAAAGCATATCAATTATAAGTTTACACATTTGTAAAATGTTTGAAAGATTACAGAAAAGAAACAACACAAAAATCCCTTTGAACTTCTACAAATCTCACAATCCCATCCCTGGACAGAAATTAGATCAGAATTTGGCATGTATCCTTCCTAAATTTGTATTGAGAATTTATATTCATAAATATCCCCTTGAAAAAAGTAAATTCTTTCTGTGTGAAACTGTATTTTAAACCTCAGTTTGTATTTATCAATTTGATTTGATAATGTGTATATAGTACACAGATCTGGTTTTCTTTAAACTGCTATATAATATTCAGAATATGTACTCATTTATTAATTTTCCTATTGATGAACATTTGGTTGATTCCAATTTCTCAGTCTGTCTGCTATAGGAATATCTTTTGGGAAAAGGGAGAGTAAGGGAAAGAGGAAATATCCTACTTTGTATTGGGATATGTTTAATTTAAGAGCAGGTCAATGTATTTGAATATTTAGTATATTCAACACTGAAATAGTAATCAAAGGGAGTATTTTTAAAAGATTTTCATTTTTCACAGTCTTTATATAATATAGGAACTTCCAACACAAGAATATAGGATAAAAAGTTCTGTAGCATCTCAACTTGCCAAACTGCTATATGAGAGCATCTAAACAACAGGAAAAGAAAGCTAACCATATTCTTCCTGTCAAGAGAACTATGTTTGTAATTTATACATAGAACTCAGAAAATCATTTCTGGCAGTTTACGAAACTGTTTATAAAACCTCTAATAAATAGGACAATTAAAACACAGCCAAAAGAAAATTTAGAGCAAAGAATCTATATATACCTTCATCTTTTAGGTATGAGATAGTCACGTAAATGAAGACCTAAAATTAATTTTTAAGTCTCTGTTGACCAAGGCAAAAAACAACTATACAGTTTTCAATTTGTGACAAAAGGAGGTCTCTAAGTTCATTTGGAGAGTCTTCCTGGGTTGACATCTGGGATGATTTAATTTCATTCCAAGATAAAGGTCATTGAATAAAAAAACAGACAATGTCTTTCACCCGTTATGAGAAAATTCTTCAGATTGACTTATCACACACATTTTGCACGTTCAACTATTCAGAGGTGAAGAGCACAGATACTGGGCAATCATTTGAGGAAGGCACTTCTGCAGAACAGTAACATAGATTTAATCTAATTAGAAACTGACTTCAACAATCAAGGAAATGGGCATTTGCATGTCCCTTTATTTTCATAAACAATATATCAGAAAGCTTTTATCAAGTGCATGATAACAGTTAATTCTTGGTTAAATTAGCCAGTGAATACAAGAGTACAGGAAGTTTTTTTGTTTTTGTTTTTTTGTTTTGTTTTGTTTTGTTGAGTAATGATTCAGGATTTTGGAGCCAAAAGACAAATTATAAATAAGACAGTCTGGTTTAGATTTGAATCTGACCTGAAATCATCTTTTAACTATTCAATTATTTTTTCTACTTAAAAGAATTTTAAATCTTCTTTAAAAAGCTTTTTGATAGTAAATATGAGTAACTTTTTAAAAGTTGGATGAATAAGTTTTTAGTCAAAAAGATACTACATTCATTTTTTAGGAAATATTTTTTAATCAGCATATAACATAAGTTGATTATGTGGAATAGGGAACAAAATTGTTTTCTCATCTCAAACTCTCTTTAAAGTATTATCATTATTATGCTTAATCAGAATCAATATGCATAAAATCCATCAACTGGTTTAGGGAGGGAAGATACATATTTAAGAGCAAAATCCAAACTAAAGAGTCATATTTATCCCTCAGCTTGACCCACTTGTGAAAAAGTGGAAAGTATCTGGGTATAAACAAGCATGCTGCTAATCAAACACCTTTCTTTCCATGCAAAGGGGGAAATACCTCAATGTGACAACATCACAATACAACAGTTGGTCCTAGCTGATGCATATATACAAAATGACTCTCTAATAAAATGAGAAGAGGACAGACATGTGGCTGGGTAAGAGGAAAATAAATACTCTTTACTTGGTAGTAATTCACATTCATATCCCTACTTGGAAGCAGGCCTGCTTCCAATGGCATGAATTACAAACAAACCCAAATGGCAACGGAAATGAAAATGCCCACAAGGTTATTATTTGCCCTGACTATAAAGTCAACCACCTGCCAGGGGAGATGACACTGAACTCATTACCCTGACCCTTACCATTTATATCCACTTCTTCTCCCTTTTGAGGCCATCCATCCCACCCAAAACCCAGCTCTGAACCTTGGAAATGGCAGGAAACTTTGGTGGACCCAGCATTTATCAATTCCTCTCTCTAAAATATAAGCTATCTTACAAAAATAATAAATATATATATTACTTTTATATATATACTATGTATTCTATATATTATATATATTCTTATATATAAGAATTATGTAAAATTTACAAAAATGGTTTAAAAAGTTTTTACAATATTATATTTTTTAAAACAAGTAAACACACAGCTCTAGTTTTTAATGTACATTTGTATTTACTTATGAAAATAGGATTGTAGTGTATTAGATAAAATTTGGGACTCCAGAGGCAGATGAACTGAGTTTAAATTCTGACTCTGCCTCAGATTGGCTGAATAACTTTGGACAAGTTACATAACTCCCTCTGTTTGTCAGTTTCCTAATCTGTGAAGTGTGAGTAAAAAATTATACATATCTCAGAGGTTGCTATGAAAAAATCAGCAGAAAGCAGTAGAGTGACAAGTAGAAACTGCTCGTTAAATAATATCTATTCTTAGTCTTATATTCATTTATATACTTATTAATCACTTGTCTTTTAAATTAAAAAAAAGCCATAGGAAATATCCCCAATGTAATAACCAATTCTTGTACATAATTCAGAGTAATCCTTCACCTCATGAAGATTCTATAATTAACCAATCCATTGTAAATCACTGTCTCCAATTTTTAACTGTAAACACTGTGATTTTATATATAGCTACCTCTATGCATCCATGATGCATTCCCAAAAATATATTCCTAGAGATGGAATTGCCGAGTCATAGGATATGCCTGTTCTTGTGGTTTTGGCCAAGTACTGCTAGTTAGCCCTCTTAAAATGCAATATTAATTTCTAGTCCTAGCCTCGGTGAATAAGCCTATCCATTTCCTTGCAACCTTGCCAACTGCAGG